CCTCGCCGTCCCCGGCGCCCACTTTGCCGACGCCCGCTCCCTCGCCCGCACCTCCCTTGCCCACTCCGACCGCGCTGCTCCCACCACCAGCGCCGCTGCCTCGGCCACTGCTGCAGTTGCTAACACGCCCGGTGCTGATGGTGCGGGTGCAGCAGGAGGCGGGTGGAGCTCCACCCCTGCCCCTGCTGGAGGTGCTGCCGCAAGTGCAGTGATGTCTGCGCCTGCTGCTGCTGCTGGTGGTGGTGCTGGCAAGACCGGCGTGGCGCATGCAGGTGGTGCAAGGGGAGAAGTGAGCGCGGGTGCTGGGGCAGCGAGTGGTGCAGCGCCTGGAACAACAGAACTGGCAAATGGCAGGAGTGGGGAGGGCGGAGAGGAAACCTGCAGATTGCATGGAGGTGACTCAGATGCATGGAAGGGTGAGGTACACGGCGAGAAGGAGGAGTGTACCGGTGAGGCGGGCGCAGGGGAGATGGTTGATGGGGGCTCCTCCGGCGCCGTCACGCAGGCTCGAGTCGAGGCGGAGGGTCAGATGGGCGCAGAGACAGGCAGTGATGGGCAGGGGCAGGGGCAAACGGGGCAGCTGCAGAACAAAGAGATGGGGCAGGGGCAGGGGCAGGGGCGGAGGGGTAGGCAGGGGGAGTTTGAGACGCTGAGTGGAGTGGAGGCGGTGGAGAGCTGCAATAGCTGGGCGCGCATCCAGGCTCTCATGGAACGCCCCCCCCAGGCAGGCCCGCCCCCAGGCCACCTGCAGTGCACGCCTGCTGCGCCACACAGCAGTGGTGGGGCTGCGGGCAGGGCGGGGGAGCACGGGGGAGGTGAAGCACAGAGTGGGATGGTGCGGCTGGTGGTGTCCGTTGAGGTGAGCAGTGCGCTGCTGGTAGGGACATGAACCGGTGGTGTCCTGTGCCAAGGAGTCAATCGGTGGTTCGTGGTGCAATGGAGTCAGTGGTATGCTGTGATATGAAGTGATATCTTCATTGATTTACAGACACTGGCATGCAGTGAATATGCTCTGACCAAGGCACTCTGACTGAAGCTACTGTGATTGCCTCCGTTCTCACCACCCCCACTGCATGCTGGCAGGACACGGGGCAGGGCATACCGTGGGCGGCGCAGCCTCGTCTGTTTCGGCCGTACGTGCAGGCGAACATCAGCACCACGCGCACACACGGCGGCACCGGCATCGGCCTCTCCATCTCGCAGCACCTGGTGGCGCTGATGGGCGGCAAGCTGGCGTTTGTGAGCCGCCCGGGCGTGGGCACGACCTTCTTCTTTGACATGACGCTGCCCTTTGAGAACCCCCCGGACCCCTCCCATGACGCCCCCGCCTCTGCTGCTCCTGCTGCCGCCGGCAAGAGGAGAAGTGCCCCCGCACTTGCCTCTCGAGTCTCTGACCTTCAGGTGCGTGCGAGGCTGCCTCTTGTGTCGGCGTGAGGACCTTATTCGGTGTTGTCAGCCCATTTCAGTGGCACTAGTCACAGGAGTGACAGTCTGCCTCGCAGCGAGTGCAAGTACCGTGTCTCCATGCATTCACTGTGTCTCGTGCATTCACTGTATGCATGCACTGTCCCTCCATGCATGCCCTGCCCCTGCTCACCGGCTGTACAGGGGTGCACAGCGGTGGTGCTGGACGACCGGCCTGTGAGGCGCGCCGTCACAGCCACGTATCTGCGCCGCCTCAGGCTCAACGTGCTCCTCGCACGCCGCTGGGAGGACCTCCCCCCACTCCCCGCCCTGCCACTACCACCCTCCCCTCCTGCCCCGCCTGCTCCTGCCACTCCCCCCCAAGCTTACCCATCCTCCCCGGGCCCACTGGCAGTGGTGGGCGTGGTGTCCCCTGCACTGCCAGGTGTGGCAGCAGGCACCGTGGCAGCAGCATCGCTGGCGGGGCATGAGAGTGGTGTCACTCCCCTCTCAGATGCCGGGCCATCTGTTGCCGTGGGAGTCATGGCAGGCGCAGCGAGCACAGCAGCAGGCAGTGCGGGTGGCGGCGGGTGGGGGCCCCCAGCGGGCACTCCATGGGGCGGTGCGTTCCTGCTGGTGGACGCGGAGACGCTCGCCCGCCATGCCCGCGCCTGGCGCCACTCACTGCCCACGCCACCTGCACGCACGCACGAGGGAGGGCGGGGCGAGGGAGGCGAGCCTGGGGTGGGAATGGCAGGCTTGGGCACGGGCAGGGATGGTGATGGGGCGGGGGGTGATGTTGCAGGGGCGGAGGCAGAGGCAGAGGCAGGGGCAGGTGTGGGGCGTGATGGGGCAGGTGGAGGGGAGTGCGCAGTGCCCATTGTGCGCGCAGGCGGCGAGAGGACAGCCGTCCTCCCCTCCTCGCCGTGGAGGGCAGGGGACGCGTCCCAACAGTTGTGCGCCCCCCGGGCAGCCTCTGACGGGGCTGCCACACCCCCTCTCGGCACACTCGCTTCTGCCACGCCCCCCTCCCCTGCTGGCAGCGTGGAGAGCCCCGACGGCAGCAGTGGCGCTGGCAGTGACGCCATGGGAGGTGGGGGCGGGGGAGGCAGCGGCGTGCTGACGAGCGCTGCTGCCATGGCCACTGCTGCTGCCTTCTGGACCAGCCGACAGCAGCAACAGCCGGGAGGAGTGGAGGAACAGCAGCAACAAGAGCAAGGAGTGGGGGAGCGGCCACAGCAGCAACAGCGATTGGGGGAACAGAGGCAACAGCAGCACGAAGCACATGAGAAGAAGCTACTGAGTTCACAGTGGCAGTCACAGCAGCAGGACCAGCAGGAGCAGGAGCAAGAGCAGCAGCAGCAACATGTGAAGCATTCACTTCCTGTGCCGCCGTTGCAGCAGGAAAGTAGAGGGAGTGAGGGGGTTGATGAGGAGCATCGTGATGCAGCGGGGGGTGGTGGAAGTAGTGCCCCAGCCAGTGCAGCCTCCAGGGGCACAGGCACAGGCACAGGCACAGGCACAGGCACAGGCACAGGCACAGGCACAGGCACAGGCACAGGCACAGGCACAGGCACAGGCACGGATGCGGACACGGGCACGGGGTTGAAGTTGAGTACGGGTATGGGTATGGCCATGGGCAATGGCATGGGCATGGGCATGGGTGCATGGCGCATGGTGCTGCTGGTGCGCGAGCCGAGCATGGAGAGCGTGGCCGCCCAGGCCGGCTTCCACGCCACGCTGCTCAAACCCATCCGCCGCGCCGCCCTCGTGGGCGCGCTGCTGCAGGCCGCCAAGCACAGCAGCGGCGGGGGCAGCAGCAGCAGCACACAGGGTGCAGAGGGCGGGCAGGGCACCTTGGGTAGGCGAGGGGAAGGAGGATCTGAAGGAAGGAGAGGGACAGAAGTGTCAAGTCCCGAGAATTTTAGGGGCGTGACGGGTGGGGAGCACGATTACGTGGTTGTGGTGGATAACGGGGCAGAGGATGCCTGTGGGGCAGGTGCAGGCGAAGCAGAGAGATCGGATGGAGGAGCATCTGTGGAGTCAAACATGGCTCTCTCCCCTGTCACTCTCACGGGAAGGACCGGAAACAAGGAGATGCGTCTGAAGCAAGTGGAGGCAGGAGAGAGGAGTGGTGGCGAGAGGAGAGTGGCGGTGGAAGGGCGGGGTGGCAGCAGTGCGGCGTTGGCGAGTCCCGGGGCGAGGAGGGTGGCTGAGGGTGCCCCACAGTCGCTGACTCAGATGCTCACTGCAGTGCTGCATGGCAAGCACTTTCTGGTGGTGAGTTTCTGTTGAACTCATTGCAGCTGCTTGGACATGCAAGGCCTAAGCACCAGTGGCACTGAGTTGAGTGCGCTACTGCCCCGTTCGTATGTGTAATGTGGTGTGGTGTGGTGTGGTGTGGTGTGGTGTGGTGTGGTGTGGTGTGGGTGTGCAGGTGGACGACAACATGGTGAACCGCAAGGTGATAGCCAAGATGCTGGAGCGATACAAGGTGCACGTGGTGCCCGTCGTGGGGGGCGCCGTGGCCGTGGCCAAGGTGGTGCCTGGCCACGCCTTCCACTGCATCCTCATGGACGTCCAGGTCAGCTCTCCACCCCCTCTGCATGCCCGCTGCACCGCTGGGGCTGGAGCTTGGGCAGCACATTACTGCTAGCTACTGTATGCTTGTCCCCCCCCACCTCACAAATCCACGTTTCTTTCTGCCCTCACTGTGTCCAGATGCCGGGTATGGACGGATTCGAAGCCACAAGGCAAATCCGCAGGCAAGAAGCGAAGTACAGGCTCTCACAGACTCCGATATTTGCACTTACAGCGGACATCTTTGCAGGGACTCGGGAGAAGTGCATCGAGTCCGGCATGAACGGCTTCTTGTCAAAGCCTATAGAGGAGGAGCAGCTGTGGAACGTGATTTACAAGTACTTTTGCCATTTGACAGACTCTCTCTTTGTGGAAACATCTCCAACAAATTAGTCGACCATTTTGAGAGTTCCTTCCTATCGGGGCTGACGTAAAAAAAAAAAAAAACACACTTTGAATCTCCGGGAAGCCCGGGTACAGCATGGTATTTTTCAAGTTCAAGATTCTTGAACTTGAAGTCGCAAAAAACAGGGTAACCCTCTCTGGTTTGAAAAACAACTCGCGACTCAGGGAAAACCTATTGCGACCCTCACTCCTGATTGGTTTCCGTGCCCAGTCGCACAACACCTCCGACCATCGCCCACAATATTGCCGTGAGCACACCTCACATATCTTGAAGACCAAGTAGTACTAGTCTGCTAGAATAGGGACAGTACTAGGAAACGCGCGGCAGGGCGATAGAAGCTAGCTCAAGTAAAGGCGACTTTCTCCTTGCAACACGAGTCACTCACGCTGTCTGACCAATCGCTGACCAGCACAACTTCAAGCCATGCGCTCACCGTACCTCTTTCGCATGCCAGGGACGCTACCCGTGCTAGCGCACGACACGAGCAATGCTCGTAAATGGCATGAGTTGCCACACTCAAGGGATTTAGTATGACGAGAGCGCGTTACCCTCGTGAGACTGGCGGAAAAGCGACACCCGCACTTCTTCTCGTCGCCCACACTTGCTCGGGTCACGATATCTCCCACTCGTCTCTCTCGCTTTCCTTCGTCGCCCGCGATTCCCACCGTCCCGCGCTTCCCACCGTCCCGCGCTTCTCCTCGTCGCCCGCGCGCGCACCCTGAACCGTCGCCCTCGCGCGCTTCTGCTCGTCGCCCGCGCGCGCTTTTCCTCGTCGCCCGCGCGCGCTTTTTCTCGTCGCCCGCGCGCGCTTCTCTTCCTCGCCCGTGCGCGCTTCTCCTCGTCGCCCGCGCGCGCTTCTTCTCGTCGCCCCCGCCTCTTCATTTCGCCCAAGCTTCCTCCCTCCATCCCTCCTTCTCCCCTCTCTTCCTCTCCCTCCGTCCCTCCCTACCTTGCTCTCGACCTTCATTCCTCTGTCCCTCTCTCCCTCTCCCTCTCTTCCCTTTCTCTCTCTCTTGCCTTTCTCTCTCTCTTCCCTCTCTCCCTCCCTTTTTCGCTAAGGACAGAGGGGGAGAGACACGGGGGGAAGGACACAGGTGGAGAGACAGAGGGTGAAGGGCAGACGGGGAGAGACAGAAGGGGAAGGACGGAGGGGGAGGAACAGAGGGGGAGGGGCAGAGAGTGAGAGACAGAAGGTGAAGGGCAGAGGTGGAGAGACAGCAGGGGAAGGACGGAGGGGGGGGAACAGGGGGGGGGGTTGTCCCAGAGAGTGAGAGACAGAGGGTGAGAGCGGGTACTCCCCTCACTCCCTCTCCCTGTCGATCTCACTTCCCCCTAATTGTTTACACCCCTTTTTTTTATTACCAACCTCCCTCACTCCCACCAGCTCCGTTTACCCCCCAATATATTCTCCTTTGCCTCACCTGCTTCCCCCCATCCCCTTCCCTGCTTTCCCCCCATCCCCATCCCTGCTTCCCCCCATCCCCTTCCCTGCTTCTCCCCATCCCCTTCCCTGCTTCCCCCCATCCCCATCCCTGCTTCCCCCCATCCCTGCTTCCCCCCATCCCCTTCCCTGCTTCTCCCCATCCCCTTCCCTGCTTCCCCCCATCCCCTGCTTCTCCCCATCCCCTTCCCTGCTTCCCCCCATCCCCTTCCCTGCTTCCCCCCATCCCGCTCCCTGCTTCTCCCCATCCCCTTCCCTGCTTCCCCCCATCCCCTTCCCTGCTTCTCCCCATCCCCTTCCCTGCTTCCCCCCATCCCCTTCCCTGCTTCCCCCCATCCCCTTCCCTGCTTCCCCCCATCCCGCTCCCTGCTTCCCCCCATCCCGCTCCCTGCTTCCCCCCATCCCGCTCCCTGCTTCCCCCCATCCCGCTCCCTGCTTCCCCCCATCCCCTTCCCTGCTTCCCCCCATCCCCTTCCCTTCTCTACACGGTGCATAGCAACACGCACGCGCATGCAGAAGTTCTTCGATGACTGGATACCTTGGCACAAGTGATGAGCGTCACTCTCTCCCCACTCCCTCCCCCTCTGCTCGCCCTCTTCCTCGTGGCAGGCCACCGAAGCACCGCATCCAGCAGATCTTCGAGTGAATCTGCCCTGAGGCTTGCTGGCGGAGCTGTGAGGCAGCCTCCTCCCGAAACTGCCTTCAGCCTCCCCTGCTGCCCAGCAGGATGCCGCGGAGCATTGATGCGGGAGGGGGCAGACCATGCTGGCAGAAAATGATGGCGGCAGCGCACGTCAGGTCTGCGCTGCTGTGGGCCGGGGGACTGCAGAGTGTTGCAGGGACCAGCACGGCATGTCGATATGTGGCCGGCCGAGATCCTTATGAGTTGAGGGATCTGAGCTTGAGAGAGTGCGTTTCCGAAATGCATTGGTAATGCGTTTATTGATGTTTCATTTTTTTTATTCACAATTTGCTTGCAATGCTTTTCTGCACCTATTCAGCACTTGAAATTTTGTGTTTTTCTGAAGTGAAGTCTCAAAAGCATCCAGACATTTTAGTAAATTAGAAATTGTAAAAATAGTGTTCAGTGTACTGCCTTACTCTCACTCGCGTGAGTTTCGCGTTGCCCACCATTTCAACCCCAAGAGAAGCGCCAGCAGCAGTGGTGGGGCTGGAGCAGTGCTCTGTCACACACAGAGTCGTTCGGCCCTCCCATATCCTCGGAAACAGCCGTCGCATAGTATCGTGGCGAAGGTTGTTTTACCCGCCTCCTGAATTCGCTTTCGCCCCACACACATTTTCGAAATACACGATATTATTATTTTCGCCAGACTGTTTCAACCCCACATAACTTGAAAATTTACCATGCTGACCTCGCAGTTTGAGGGTCATTTGCTAGGATTTGACTACCGGTAGTCTGAGGGTACATTCATGTATCAACACTTGTGTCTCGATGTCCGTTTTTTCCCGAGTCGCGTCTAAATGTTTAGTCAACTTTGCGTCTTGAAGTGTGAATGAATTGTTGACCAAGCTACATGTACAGTTGGGCGCGTCTACTTGGGTGGGGTGCAGGGCAAAAAAATTCAGGGTAAAATGCCCTGATTACCTTGGGGGGCGGCTGCTGTTTCAGCGTTACCAGGCTTCCGATATTTTTACCCTTTCGCAAAAAGAGTTTTTTTTTTACACTTTTAGGGATTATGGTTAGCATGACGGTATCAGGGTTGCGTGTACACTACCCTGATACCGAAACCTTTTTAGCGCGGATCAGCCCATTCTTCGCGTGCCAACGCACCCCTGAATCGGCCCAGGGCCTCAGTTATCAGGATAATTTATCCTGATTCTCCTGAATTCAGGATAGGTGTCGTGTGCTAGTCCTGGAAAAACAGCATACGGTAACATAAATAATTGTCCTGTAATTTCAGTATAACGGTTTTTTTGCGTACTGAAAACTCATGATAAGGCTATAGGTTCAGCCCTGATGAGTCAGGATAGTGTCGAATCTCGCTCTGAAGCGAGATGTACTGTACGAAAAATCTCTTGGGCTTCGGGGCCTAAAATATTTACGGGCGGGCACCTCAAACATAGGAGCCAGCGGGAATCGAGCAGGAGACCTATTACGTAACGCATTGTCGCTTTACCCACCACCACACTTCACCTATTACGAAATGAAGCACTGAATTTACAGGATAGAGACAAATGTACCACTGGCATTTCAGGATACCTCACCCTGTGCAGCCCTGACAATTTAGGGCAAATTCTAATTCCCTAACAACTGCCCTGAGGCCTCAGTGTACCCCCAAACGAATCTGAGGCCCTGATCGGGCCACACCACACCGACATGGCCCAAAATTGGTTTTAGGCCACCCTGCCTAATCACGGTCTCAGCCTGTCCCACCCTGATGGCCTAGGGTAAAATTTCTGATACGCTGACAAATACAGGCTAAAAAAAAAAAACCTGACTGAATTAAAGGAGACTTGCATTGATATTCCTAGTAACATAGAAAACGTAAGTAAATGACTTAGTCAGTTGTCGAATCTCTGAATGATTAGATTGCAGGTTCGAACCTTGATGTCGGCGAGTTGTCTGTTGAGGCTAATGCGGGCTTCTCCGAATCGGTGCCACTGTAACCCATGTGTTACACTTCTTAGTCAGGGAAAAAATGTCAAATTATATATATATATATGTGTTTAGGTTGTCTAGGCTGTATGGGGGTTAGCACTAGGGGGTACAGAAACTTTCTCGACACTCTAGTCTTGTACCCCAACCTTGACCTAATCCAACCACTATTCTCTTGACTTAGCCTTAACATGGTAACTAGAGCAGGAGGTCTCTAGGACCTAAGAATCGGGCCCACCTAACTGTGTTACCACCTGCCTGCCTTGCCTACTGCCCGCGCGCGCCTCGGCTGCAGCGCGAGTCACTTTTTTTTTTCCGCGCGCGCCTCGTTTTCTAGCACGCGCGTCACTGTTTTTAGCGCGCGCGACTGCTGCAGAGCCGCGCGCATCCCGCGTAGAGCCCGCGCGCCCCTTACGCCGCCCGCGCGCAGCCTGCTTAGGCCCGTCGCCGCACGCAGCCCGCAGCAGCGCGCGCTGCCCGTCGCCACATGCAGCCAGGAGCCGCACGCAGCCAGTCGCCACGTGCAGCCAGGAGCCGCGCGCAGCACGTAGCCACGCGCAGCAGAGAGCCGCGCGCAGCCCTCAGCCGCACGCAGCCAGCAGCCGCGCGTGCCCTACTCGTGTACCTGCATGTGAGGCTCACTGCTACCGAGCCCGCTACCTTAGAACGGTTCGGCCTGCTACTTTCTAGAGCGCCACCTTAGGAGCTCGAGTGCAGCAAGCTCCTGCCCTGCACGTTGCCTACACTGCCTACTGCCTACTGCCTCTGTCTTAGCCTGCTGCCTACTACCTACTGCCTCGTGTCTACTGCGTGCCTGCTTTCTGCTGCCTTTGCCTGCTGCCGTTATGACGACGCCTAATGTTCTCGCGTTCGAACCTGACGGTCGCCCCATAGAGTTCGCTGTGTGGCTAGACGACCTGCAACTGTTCCTTCTGACCGATGCCAAAGAGGGCGTTTCACTGTTCGATTACGTGTCTGGCACTGCCGTTGCTCCTGCTGCCGATGCTCCTCCTCTCGAACGCTCGCAGTGGCAGACTCGCGATGCTGCTGCTCGCCTAGCTACTAGGAACCATCTGCCGATCACTGAGCGCGCGCATTTCAGCCAGCACAAAACTGCTAAGACACTGTACGACGCTGTAGTTGCGCGCTACTCCTCCCCGGCCACTGCAGCCATAGGTCGACTCATGCTACCGTACCTGTTCCCCGACCTCTCCTCGTTCACCACTGCTGAGGACCTCATTTCCCACCTGCGCGCTACTGACACTCGCTTTCGTGCCGCCCTCTCAGCCGAGTTCTGCGCCGCAAACCCCCCCCGATGTACTTCACTCTCTATTTCCTCGTTACCCGCCTCCCTGACACTCTTAGCTCGGTCAGGGACCACTTCCTCGCGCTAGACCCCCCCACTCTCACTGTCGACGACTTCGAGACGCACCTCCTTGCAGCAGAGAAGAACATCCTCGCTGTCGGTGCTGCTCGTGGCACTCCTCGCTCTCCCCTCTTTGAGGGGTGCTCCCCCTCCCCTCTCACCCCCTCCTACGCCTCCGCAGCTGCTGCTCACGACTACCTTGGTGCTGAGGAGGTCGGGGCTGCTTCCGCTCCTAGTGGGAAGCGTCGCGGCAGCAGGGGCGGCAAGGGTGGCAGGGGAGGAGGGGGTGGCGGTGGAGGTGGCGGTGGAGGAGGCGGCGGGGGAGGTGGAGGTGGTGGAGGCGGTCGTGGGGGTGGAGGTGGTGGAGGTGGTGGTGGGGGCAGCGGAGGCACTGGGAGCGGTGGAGGTGGCAGCAGCGGCGGTGGGGGAGGAGGGAGCGGTGGTGGAGGTGGTGGAAAGGGCCAGCAGCAGTCGCAGCAGCAGCAGCAGCAGCAGCAGCAGCGCCAGACCCCCACTTCCCAGCAGCTTCTTGACTGGTATGCCGGGCGTGGGGCTTCTGGGGGTGCTGGTCGCTGCCCCTATATGATTCGCACAGGTCCCCGCACTGGTCGCCAGTGCACAGGGTTTCACACTGAGCAGCGCTGCTTCGCTCGGCTTAGCGACACCTAGCGTGCCAAGTTTCCTGATGCTACTGAGTTCCCCAACTGGGCAGACTTGCTTAGGCGTGATGTACCTATCTTTGATCTTGACTATGAGGCTATTCTTGCTGCCATGTATGCATTGACTGTTAGTGCTGAGGGTGACTGCTACTTGTGTGTGCCGCCTGACCCAGGTATTGCCCCAGGTATAGCGCCTGTGGCACTAGGTGCTTGTGAGTCTGTTCCCCCTGGTACTGCGTCTGCACGGGCCTTGCACACCTTCACACTTGACTCTGGTGCTTCCCGCTGTTTCTTTCGCGACAGCACCACAGTCACTCCCCTCCCTGCACCTGTTCCTGTCTCGCTGGCTGACCCCTCTGGGGGCCCAGTGCTTGCACGGTCTTCCACTGTGCTTCCGTGTCCGGCGGTCCCGTCTGGTGAGTTGTCTGGTCTCCACCTCCCCTCGTTCTCTACGAACTTGGTGAGCAACGCCGTCCTTCAGGATCACTGGGTTGACACCTTTACTCCAGGAGGACAGCGTGTGGCGATCTGCACGTGCTCTCGGACCGGCCGTCACCTGGCCACGTTCACACGTGCGCCTGGGTCTAGTCTGTACACCCTCACCACTGCGTCTCGCGACACCCCTTTGTCCCCCCAGCTAAACGCGTCTGCTCAGGTAGCTACCCAGTGTGAGTGTCGCCGCCTGTCGCACGACACTCTCCTGTGGCACCACCGCCTTGGTCACCCCTCCCTGCCTCGCCTTCGTAGCATGCACTCTCGCTTCCTGGTCTCTGGCCTTCCCAGGTCTCTGCCTGCCCTCCCTCCCTCGCCTGCGCCGCCCTGCATTCCTTGCGTCGAGGGGCGGCAGTGCGCCGCTCCTCACTCCTCCTCGTTTCCTCCCACAGAGGCTCCCCTGCAGACTCTCCACATGGACATGTGGGGCCCAGCCCGCGTCCGTGGACAGGGCCACGAGCGGTACTTCCTGCTGGTCGTCGACGACTACACGCGTTACACCACGGTCTTCCCCTTGCGCAGCAAGGGGGAGGTCCCTGATGTTTTGATCCCCTGGATCCGCGCTGTTCGTCTCCAGCTCCGCGAGCGGTTCTAGTCGGACTTTCCTGTCCTGCGTCTGCACTCTGACAGAGGTGGTGAGTTCTCCTCAGACCTCTTGGCAGCCTACTGTGCGGAGCACGGCATCCGCCGGTCGTTCACGCTTCCGGCCTCTCCGCAGCAGAATGGGATTGCTGAGCGCCGCATTGGCTTAGTCATGGAGGTCGCTCGTACCTCCATGATCCATGCGGCTGCCCCCCATTTTCTGTGGCCGTTTGCGGTCCGGTACGCCGCGCATCAGCTCAACCTCTGGCCCCGTGTCTCCTTGCCGGAGACCTCGCCCACACTGCTGTGGACGGGGAAGGTTGGCGATGCGTCGCGTTTCTGGGTCTGGGGTGCTCGTGCCTTTGTCCGCGATACCACCGCGGACAAGCTCTCTGCTCGCGCCATTCCCTGCGTCTTCCTTGGCTTTGTCCCTGACGCGCCTGGCTGGCAGTTTTACGACCCCGCCTCGCGCCGTGTCTTTCCGTCTCAGGACGTCACCTTTGACGAGTCCGTCCCCTTTTACCGTCTCTTTCCCTACCGCACTGCTCCTCGCCCCCCCCCGCCGCTCTTTCTCGCCCCAGGTCCTCCCCTGGTAGACCCCCTCCCCGCGCCAGGTCCTGCTCCTTCAGGTGTTTCTCAGGTAGACCCTCCCGTGCCTGCGCCTGTTGAGGTCACTGGTGACTCAGGTCCTACTGGGGGTGGTGCTGTCTTTGGGGGTGCTAAGCCTGGGGGTGCGGAGCTTGGGGGTGCTGAGCCTGGGGGTGCGGAGCTTGGGGGTGCTGAGCCTGGGGGTGCGGAGCTTGAGGGTGCTGAGCCGGGGGGTGCGGAGTCTCGGGGTGCTGAGCTTGAGCGTGAGGAGCCTGGAGGTCCTGAGCCTGGGGGTGCTGAGTCTGGGGGTGCGACGCCTGAGGGTTCTGAGTCTGCTCCTGCGCGGTCTCCTTGGAGTAGCCGCCTTCGTACGCGTGTGCCTCTCACCTCACAGCAGCTGCACGACTGGTACGGTCGCCGTCAGGGTCGTGCTTCTGGAGCTCGGGGCTCTGCCGCTGGAGGTACTTCTGCTGACACCACTGGAGCTGGGAGTGGTGCTGGTCCCGGAGGTGCTCGCACTGGAGGTGCTAGAGCTGCTGGGGCTGGAGGTACTGCTGAGCCTGAGGTTGCTACTGCTGGAGACCCTGGGTCTGGGGGTGCTGTTGCTGGAGACACGGAGGCTGGAGACCCTGGGACTGGAGGTGCTGGTTCAGGGGGTGCTGCTGAGGGTGCTAGAGCTGCTGAGGGTGCTGGAGCTGCTGGAGGTGCTGGAGCTGCTGAGGGTGCTGGAGCTGCTGAGGGTGCTGGAGCTGCTGGAGGTGCTGGAGCTGCTGAGGGTGCTGGAGCTGCAGGAGGTGTTGGAGCTGCTGAGGGTGCTGGTGCTGGTGGCACTGCACAGCCGCGCCTGTTCTTTGCTCCACCGTCTCCGTCGTCTCTGCCACCGCCTGACTCCGTACTTCGCCAGGTTCTTAGCCTCCCGTCGTCTACTGGTCTTCCGTTACAGCCAGGCTCACCTCTGCCTGCTCCTTCTCCTTACGCTGAGCAGACAGGGGGCTTTACTGAGCGTCGTGAGCCTGCGTCGCGTCCTGTCTCACCTGTCCATTCTGGTCGTTCCAGTCGTCGTGTTCCTCGTCAGCGTCCGCCGGCTGTCCTCGGTCCTTCCCTTGTAGTCCGTCGTCCTTCCTCTCCTCCGCAGCGTGTTCCTCTGCTGTCCCCTCCGGAGTCTCCTCTGCCTGTTGTTCCAGACCCTGAGTCTGACCGGTTTCGTGCTGAGCACCCTACTGTCACGCGTCTGCTAGCCACTGTTGTCACTGACCCGTCGTTTGAGTCTACTGCTGCGTCTGCCTTAGTTGCTGAGCTTGTTGACTTTGCTGCTGCCTGTCGTCTAGACTACGCTGCTAGTCTTGTTGCTGAGTCTGAGTCTGTCTGTCCTCCGTCCGTCGGGGGTGAGTGTGCTCTTGGCACGGACGTCCTTGAGGACAGGCACGAGGACCTTGAGTGTTTTGCAGCCGCTGCGCCTCATCTTGTGTCCATGCTGCTTGCCCCTGAGGGAGACCCGGATGCACCAGACATCCCGACCCCGCGCTCTTACGCTGAGGCGATCGCGGGTGAGTACTCCTCTCAGTGGCAGACAGCCATGGATGCAGAGATGGCATCGTGGAAGTCCACAGGCACCTACGTCGACAAGGTTCCCCCTCCTGGGGCGAACATCGTCAGTGGCATGTGGATTTTCAGGGTGAAGCGGCCGCCAGGTTCTCCGCCTGTCTTCAAGGCTCGTTACGTTGCTCGAGGTTTCAGTCAGCGAGAGGGGGTTGACTTCTTCCAGACCTTCTCCCCCACTTCGAAGATGACCACTCTTCGGGTGCTGCTGCACGTTGCCGCCCAGCGTGACTACGAGCTTCACTCTCTTGACTTCAGCACAGCTTTCTTACAGGGCAGCCTGCACGAGGAGATCTGGCTGCGCCGCCCACCTGGCTTCACTGGGTCGTTCCCTCCTGGTACCCAGTGGAGCCTCCGGCGGCCGGTCTACGGTCTTCGCCAGGCGCCGCGTGAGTGGTACAGGTCACTTGCTCTCAGCTCCACCTTCGGACGAGTCCGTAGAGCCGAGTGGTCCTTACCCAGAGCTAGTGGGCTGCCTCATGTAGCTAATGACCTGCACTCGTCCTGACCTTGCGTACCCTCTTGGCCTTCTGGCTCGCTACGTGGCTCCTGGTCGGCACCGAAAGGTGCACATGGATGCTGCTAAGATGGTACTACGCTACTTGTGCAGTACATCGGGCATGGGGCTCGTGCTTGGAGGACGGAGCGACGTTGTTCTCACTGGGCACTCAGACGCTTCTTGGGTTGACGACCAGGCTACGCAGCGGTCGTCACAGGGTTACACCTTCAGACTTGGCTCTGGTTCGGTTTCTTGGCGTTCTACACGCTCGTATTCAGTTCTCAGCTCCAGTTGTGAGGCTGAGATCTACGCCACAGCCATGGCTGCACAGGAGTTACGCTGGCTCACCTACCTGCTGACCGACTTGGGAGAGAGGCCTCGTTCTCCTCCAGTGCTGTACGTCGACAACAAGACCGCCATTGCCTTGTGTCAGGAGCACAGACTGGAGCACAGAACGAAGCACATCGCTCTGCGTTACTTCCTTGCTCGAGAGCTACAGCAGCGTGGTCAGCTTCGTCTTGCTTACGTGGCCACTCGGGCCGACACTGCTGATATATTCACCAAGGCGCTTCCGTCTGGTGATCATCAGCGTTTCTGCACTTTGTTAGGCCTTGTGCCCACGTTTCCTCACTTGCTGTAGGCTTTGTTTGTACTGTGATCTATATATATACCTGCATGCTTGCTCTCGTAGGTAGAGATCACTGTGCTATTGTTGTTACGTATATATCTCTGCATGTGAACTGGCCTTGAGGCCTTTTGCTTGTGCTCAGACTGCGTGGTGACGTTGTGATCCACCCTGAGCTTAACAAAAAAAACTACTACGCTGTTTTTGGAAGGGTAAAAAAAAAACCACTAATTTGAAGAAAGGGTAATAATACGGTTAGCCTGCATTGATCAGGGTAACTGTAAAAAAGCGGCCTACAGAAAGGGCAAAAATGGTATTTTACCATGTTTTTTTGGGCCCTGCACACCAATGGAAGAAAAACGCTCGGAACGAGCGCTTCTAGCCTCAAAACGCGGAAAGATCCGCACATGTGCAGGAAGTGCAGAGGGCGCTCTTCATTCGCGAGCGCCGATGACCAATGATGCTCGCAACCCTCCCACGCCCTTGCTGGCTTGGCAATAGGTCCAGACAAGCACAGCCACGTGACCCGGTGGAAGAAAAACGCTCGGAACGAGCGCTTCTAGCCTCGAAATGCGCAAGGATCCGCACATGTGCAGGAAGTGCAGCGGGCGCTCTTCATTCGCGAGCGCCGATGACCAATGATGCTCGCAACCCTCCCACGCCCTTGCTGGCTTGGCAATAGGCCCAGACAAGCGCAGCCACGTGACCCGGTGGAAGAAAAACGCTCGTAACGAGCGCTTCCAACCTCAAAGCACGCAATGATCCGCACATGCGCTGGAAGTGCAGCGGGCACTCTTCATTCGCGAGTGCCGATGACCAATGATGCTCGCAACCCTCCCACGCCCTTGCTGGCTTGGCAATAGGCCCAGACAAGCGCAACCACGTGACCCGGTGGAAGAAAAAATGCTCGGAACGAGCGCTTCCAGCCTCAAAACACGCAAGGATCCGCACATGTGGAGGAAGTGCAGCGCGCGCTCTTCATTCGCGAGCGCCGATGACTAATTATGCTCGCAACCCTCCCACGCCCTTGCTTGATTCGCAATAGGCCCAGACAAGCGCAGCCACGTGACCCAATGGAAGAAAAACGCTCTGAACGAGCGCTTCCAGCCTCAAAACGCGCAAGGATCCGCCCATGGGGAAGATGTGCAGCGGGCGCTTATCATTCGCGAGCGCCGATGACCACTGATGCTCGCAACCCTCCCACGCCCTTGCTGGCTTGGCTATAAGCCCAGACAAGCACAGCCACGTGACTCGATAGAAGAAAAACGCTCAGA